CCTCCTGTCTCCCCTATGCCAGTTCCATGAGGTGGCCTCCTGGGATGTTTTTCCAGCTCTCCTGAAGGAGGTACCATATACATGCTGAGGGCTCATTGGCCGCTTTTCCTCCACTCTCTGGTCAAACTTCTCCAAGACCATTTCTACACTATCATTCTCCTTTCTTGGCGGTTTGGCGAGTTCAAACTTTTGACTTTGTCCGGTAACATTTTTTTTTTGTCTTTTGTCAATGTTTAGATTGTACTGTCTTGCATCTGAGTATATTCATGATATTCACCCCTTCCTTTAACTGTAAATGGCTTTGGATAAAGTGTCTGGTAAATAATTACATGCCTTACATATTTATATCCTATTTAGAACTTGTTTTTGCACTATAGCTAGTGAGGAACTATATTTCATCTCAGCATATGATTCATGCATCACAGATCTGAGATGACAGTAAAAGTACTGTTATTTGATATACACCCATTCTTGCAAAGAATCTCTAACATCTGTTTTACTACATATTTCATATAATTAATTATGTAAAATTGTGGAAAAAACATGTGGGATAAGACAAAGATTAATAATGAAACCAAGTTTAGAGTAAAAAAGCTCTAAATTCCTCTAAAGGTTATTGCTAATGTCACGCCGGTAAGCGCCCGGAGCGCAGACAAATGCGCAGAAAGCCAGGAATCGGGGAACACGGGGTTAAATGAGTGGGCGCGGCGCACGAGAGGAGCGGAAGATCGGGGAATGACGGCTAAGATCATAGTCATACACACTTGACAGCAGCAACACCTGTCTTTCCTGTTCTCTGTGGGCATAGCAACGGCGATGAGCAGCAAACACAAATGCCCAAATATGGTTATGAAACTGCAACTTAATCAGAACTCATATTACTCTGCAGCAATTATAATTATATAATATTATAACATGAGTGACAAACAGAGGCCTGTCATATTACAACATCAACATACACTTAACATATTCTTTAGGTAAAAACAAACCCCTGCGCATTAGGCATCTGTACCCTTATAATTAACCATGTGGTTACCCTAACTGCTAACTACTTCATCTGTATATACGTGCGCCTCTCGTTTGCGATACACGTAGGTAGAAGGCGTACTTATTTTAGCGGTGCTGAATGATTAAAGTTATCTGATTAGCGATTCTGTATTGCTAAAGAACTTCATTAATTACCTCCTTTTGGACCGCTATCATTCTGATCGTTAAGATAGCGGAATATGGGCACGGGCTCATTAGCAGAGTAACCACGAGGAAGTATAAACTTATACAGTATATACTTTTTCAGGGGGGAGGTAAGCAAACATATAGAACAGCTGTGAGTCGCTGAGGACCGAATTGGGAAACAGGATGATAGGAAAGTTATTAATGACAGGGGAAGTAGGTTCTGTTTTTTGTTTTGCCTGGCTGGATGACCTTTGGCTTTGGAAATGATTCCTGGAGAACCTTATTAAGAGATGTGCAGTAAGAAATATAGATTTGTGGGCACCCATAATACGAACATGTAAATGAGTAAATAATATTGAACGTATAGCGTCATGCCTGGGGCAGCATGTGGAGCAGTGGGCTAAGCTTCTGTGCTTCAGATCAGAACGTTGCTATGTCTGTGGGCCCTTGAGTGAGGCCTGTAACCCCCCCCCCCCTCAGCTCCATGGGCATCACTGCAGGTGGCTGCCCTTCACTGCCAAGTTTGCTCTCACCTACAAATGTGTCTGTGTGTCATAGAGAGCAAGATGGGGTAGGCGAAAAGAGAATTTCCCTTACAGTGGTCAATAAAATATTATAATTTCATTAAAATTAATTTTTACAGTTTTGGCATATGTATAGCCCAGACGTTGCTCAGAATCGTTTACCTATTTACAACCCATTGACACTGACACTGAATGAATATTGTGCCACTGATTATTTGCTACCAAATATTTAAGGGACCTGGAATGCCTAAAAACACAATAAATCTGTTTGTCTGCGTGTTCCTACCTTAAAAGGAAAATGGAGATTACACACGATGATTAAATACGGCGTGACTGGCAGGCCGGGGGCGTAGCTAGAAATTCTATGCCCCTGGCAAAATGGCATCTCCCTTTAAAATTTTCCATATAATTTAATATATTCAAGGGCCCTTGTAAGGTGCTGGACCCCATTTGGGGGGGGGGGGAAGTGAGATTTGTTTCTTGTTACTGCCTGTGTTTTGTGAAATAGGAACTTTTCACACTCACCATCCCTGACAAGCACCTGCTGTCACCTCTGCTTAGAAAATGGAGGGATTGGCTGATTTTTATTTTTTCATGCGGAAGTCATTCCCGCCCCTCCCAAATAACACTTTTAATGGAAATCACCCTCCCCCAATATCACCACCTTCGGTTTTAATCTGGTGAGTAATGGAGTGTTGTGTATATTTTTCTTATCAGTGTTCCCAGCTCCGTATATCTATATATAGTTTGTCTGCATTCCGCAGGTTTGCGTTGGGTAGCTCTGCAACTTAGAACTCTGTAGTGGGTATCAGAAGGCTGCTAGTTTGCATCCTGTCCTTGACAGAATAGGCACATCTAATTTAGTCTGTGTTTTTTGTGAATGTATACTTCCTAGTATATTTAAGTGTAATTGGCCTATAAAGTGAACTCTGATTCTGACATTTCATATACTATTCAGTGTACATTGGTAGAACGGTTTACAGCGACACATGGTCCGTTACTCGTACAGTCGGTTACTCGCAAAGCCAAGCGCTTGTGTAATCACGGGGAGTGGAGGAATCAGATCCACAGCGCGAGATCCAAAAAACCGCAAAATATACAGTACGTGCCTCGCGTATATATCGCCACCTAGAGGCGCAAAAAATAGATGATAGATAGATAGATAGATAGATAGATAGATAGATAGATAGATAGATAGATAGATAGATAGATAGATTATTTGTCACATGTAGTTATAGCTGCTACAACATACAGTGAAATGCTTTTTCTGGCAAAAAGTACCCCGGCTGTGCTATATATACAAAAGGAATTAGTATCACAGAAAGATAAAATATATATAATACACATAAGTATACGTAACATTGCACTGTGAAAGTATAAATTGCACTGTATACAGATTGCACTGTGAAGATATAAATCTCACTGTAGGTGTGCCATAAAGTGCAGATATGCAAATATTTTATAAGTTATGGAACTGGACAGTAGAAGACTGTGTGTGTGTCGTTGTCCGTTATGTGCTGTGGTTCAGGAGTCTCACTGCTTGTGGGTAAAAACTCCTCCTAAACCGAAAACCTAAGCCCTGAGACCCAAGGAAAAAAGTGTCCTTCAATTTTAGGTCATTTGTCTTTGGAGGAAATAAGACATCTTACAATTTAGATTTTTTCTCATTTATTTTTATTTTTAATTTCACAGCATGTCCTCTTTAGTGTACAACAGGAATAAATACGTTTGCTTACATCAGTGAAAAGATGCAAAAACAAAATGTCCACTACAATGGACATAAATGAATGGGTGGGGTCTCAGGAGGATAGGATGCAATTACGTACCCTAGGAGTTGCTGAAGTTCTTACAGTGCTTTTTTTTTTTTTTTTAAATAAAATTTAATATAAACCTTTTTAAACGCGCTCTCAATGACTGTGAGAAGAATCAGGGCACAGGGGGAGTAGAGAGGGAGCGATTTCTGCCCGAATCAAAGAAGTGATATACAGTGGCAAGCGGCTGGGAGTGGGACAGATTCCTGAGTATAATTACGGGAATGAAAGTAAACAAAAATGAGTTATTTATAGACGGAGGAGCATGTGACCTGAATGACATAACATCCTGTCCACCCCACCACGACCTGTGCTGTGGTCGGGGAGACCAAAGCGGAGGGACGAGATCAAGTTTGTTCCTCAGGCTGTCCGTTTGTGGAACGACGGCGAACGACTGATCACGCCACTAAGCCTTGTGTAGTGTCACCACTGTTTTCGTCATTCCTCACTTTACATCTCTCTGACGTATGCTTCCTTATGTATGTACAGATATTTATATAATTGCGTTATATTTGACCTTGTTTTTACTATTTTGTTTTTGTAATTTTCACTTTAATTATATACACACAGATAATTATATTATTGCTTGATATTGTAACCATTTTATTTTGTTTATCTTATGATTTGTAATTATTTTTATTTCTCACTCACTCACACACACACATACAGTCTAATGTCTTTACCTTTGAGGACAAGCCAGGCAGGTGGGAAAACTACAGGCATGAAGAGTATATTTCTGTATGTAAGAAATACAACTTGAAAGTTGCCCGCCACACCCCCTTATCAGACACTTGAGAAAGTGGAAATGATTTCCAAAGCCAGAGGTGGTACTGTCTTCTGGAAATGTTTCAGATTTTTCCACCAAAATGATATTGTTGAAGATTGGACCATCACTGGTAAGCTACGAGACGTTTAAACCTATATTTTCCAATTAAAGATCCAGTTTTCACGTAACATGACTACATTTTGTCTGCTGCTGCCTCACTCCTGAATTTGTCTGTGGTATTATTCAAGGAACTAGACTCTGCCATCTCTAATGGAAGCGCCAGGTTCACATACACAATGCTGGAGAAATGTACTTCAAATAATCTTTAAATAACATTATAATGAATTTCAAAATAATATTAAGATCTAACAATCCTGTATTTTAACCCTAAAATAACTCCTGCCTTATGGAAAGTCCTACCCACCTGGTTTAGAGACGGTTTCCTTCACCAGGCCATTAGTCTGCTAAACCGGTGACCAGCATCATGTTGCCGTTATGATTCTACCTGCACTTTATCTGCACTGTAGCCTTATTTATTTTCCATGTTGTGCATATATATTTTTGGTACTCATTCCTACATTGCACTGTCTTGCCTTTTATTGCACTACTCCACCTGTCCCCTGCAACTGGAGCATGATAATTCCACTGGTCCTCAGAACACGTGTGTGAATCATACATGGTGAAAGGTCACCTCACCACAAGTAAGGCGCCAAACTGGGAACATTCTTACAGAGGAAAACCATTTTAATTGTAAATATAGCATCAGTAAGAGACATTGTAATGAAACAGCATGGCACAGCAGTTTCTAAAATTAAATTAGTCAGTGCAGAATCCAGGAACCACTTTGCAACTCAACTTTTTATGCTGGTAAAACAGGGGAAGATGACTTCCAACAGCAGAACTACACTCTGAAATGTAGGGGAATTCAGGCATTTATTTTTGCTTGGAGAAATATTCCTTGCTTTTCTGGACATCGGGCTTGATAGTGTCACTTCCGGGCTTCCAGCCAGCAGGACATACTGTCAGGCAATAAATCAGTACATTACAGTTCCCCTCACAACCTTCCTTTATGCAGAATCTGTTCTAATTACATGGGCACAGGCTCAAAGGGACATGACATAAAATAACACTGGTCAACAAATTTTTACTTTCTTTTTGTCACACAAATCAAAACAGGCATAGTGTTTTTTGTGCGGAATTCAAATAGCTAATTGGAATTTCCTTATCGTACAAGGATTTTGAGTGACATACAATAAAACTTTATGCTATATGTATATTTACAGTATATGTGTATGTGGAAGTGACTCATCTAAAAGGTAGAAGTGTATGATTTTCTGCTGTACTTTGCCACAGGAACATCCCTCTAAATCACAGGTGTCAAACTCCAGTCCTGGAGGGCCGGAGCCCTGCACATTTTTGGGTTTCCCCTCATTTAACACACCTGATTCAACTCCTTGTGCTAATTACCACACAGCTCTTGAGCTGAATCATTTGTGGTGGAACAGGGAAAGAACTAAGCTACACAGGGCTCTGGCCCCCCAGGACTGGAGTTTGACACCCCTGCTCTAAATGGTCCAGCAGAGGTCAGCATACGGGGACTCCACTGGTCATTATATTGTTTTTTCATATTAGACAGAGAGCAGGATCCTTATCTCAAAATGTCCAAACTTGCAAAACAGGCTTACAGCACTTTGTGCCCAGGTAAGTCTTAATCTTCACTAATAGAAATACAATAATTTTTCCTAAATTAAACTTAAATTTATCAATATATTCTTAATAAGGAATTATATACTATCAATTTGGCCTAGAAATGATGTCACTCAAAAACTATGAATGATAGCAAACTTCTCAGTGCATTTCTGAAATCAGCATTTTAAAAAGTACACGCATTGGCTGTTCTGTGACAAAATCTTTGTTGACCAATGTATTTAAAGAAGAGGTGTGGCTTGGAGCCAAAGGTGTGTCCGTATCTCTGGTACCTTCTCCATGTTTATCCGTGAACTGGAAGGCCTGCACCAGGCGAAGCGTCTCATCCACAGACCGGCCCACGGGGAGGTCATTGATCGTGATCTGTCTCAGAATGCCCTTGTTGTCAATGATAAACAGGCCACTGAGGATAAATGAGAAAAAAACAAAAAATACAGTCATTTTCACTACACAGGAAATCTTCACCATCAATTAGATACCCTGCCTAGGAATTCCAATAAAAAGTTTTGGACTACAGTGGCAGAAGCTCTACGCAAGATCTGGGGCAGCGTGGGATAGCAGGTTCTACATCACGGCTACTGCACCACAAACCTCACCGGTAGGCAATGCCTTCATCCTCCTTCAGCACACCATAGGCCTGAGAGATGGAGCGCTGGGTGTCAGCCACCAGCGGGATCTTCATTTGGCCAAGACCCCCCTCTTTTCGTGGTGTGTTTGTCCTGCAGCACAACAAATGCCAGCATATATAAAGACACAGCAGTTGCCAAGGAGGTGTCTTTGCAGTCTATGTATTGTGTCTGTTCATGTAACCACTTACGGCTACATTCAGTAAAGTGATTACAGCATTAAGCATTTAAAAACAGCACACTGGCACACACTGTGGGCAATTTTGTCACCGTTTGACCTAATCGCATGTTTTCAGACTTCAAGAGGATACCTGTTTTAACACAAGGAAGTGTGAGGCCACAGTGCTACTCATTATCTGTAACTGAATGGTAATATAGTGAACGGGTATTAACTAGGCCTGGGCAATTAATGGAATTTTAATTTCAATTAGAATATTAGCTTCCAACAATAATCAAAATAAAATAGTCGAGGTAAAGTGATTATTGTGCCACATTTCGTTTTGCAATAGTGCTCCCATTTTGTCTTGTGTTATAAATCCAATGCACCCCTATCCAGCCCCTTTTAGTTTGTTTCTCAGTTGAGTTACATTTAGAGTTCAAGGAAATCCACTGTTAAAGCGTTATTTTGTAAAAAGTTATTTTTTAAGTTCAATAAATGCAAATTCCAACATTGACCAAAATAATCATTATGATTTTTGCCGTAATCAAGCAGCACTAGCATACTCTTGAATTTGCAATGCTCTTTGATCTACATGAGCAGCAGACTAAGTCAACATACCAGGCAAGATGACAGAAGTGGGAGTCCACGGATGCCCCGATGACCTCACAGTTGATCTTCTTAAACTGATCTGCCGCATCACTGAAGGCGATGATCTCAGTGGGGCAAACAAACGTGAAGTCAAGTGGGTAGAAGAAGAAGACCACATATTTCCCTGCAGATACAGAAGCAACCATATCAACCACCATATCACATCTAAACTATGTATCATTATTATTAATATAACCATAACATTAACAATAGACGGCACCACACTATCCTGGATAAGTAGTTAGGGAGGATCGATGGATTATGAATAGAACACGCTCTTTATTCTTATAGGCATTAAGCATTAATATTAATGGCAAGGCAGTGCACAATCAATAGAATAAAATTAATAAAAAATAACCAATACTCTAAATCATATATTTTTTTCTGCCTCTGATGAACAAAGCTTGCTTGCAATGAAATTTTCAAATTTCTTCATCTCACGAGAATCCGTGCTCAGAAAAGCAAGTTTTCACTTGTTGTAAATATACAAAATAAATTTGTGATATTAAGGGTACCTCTGTAGTCAGACAGCTTGACATCTTTAAATTGCCCCCCAGGCATCACAGCTTTGGCCGTAAAGTCTGGGGCAGGCTTGCCGATTTCAGCTTTGCCAGCAGACATGTTTGTGTTTCCTGCAGGGGAAAAGCAACAGTTGGCCCAAGCAATTAAACAGAAACAGAAGGTAAACTTTTATGTACGAACCTATGCGCTTTAAACTTGTTCGGCTAATAAACCGAACATTTTGACCTCAAATTCTGCAAGTAAATGTTTTCACAAAGCGTAAGATAAGTTTACGTTGTCCCGCTAAAATGAATGCGATTATATTGTGGAATATAAACAGAAAGTTCGCATTTCTAAAACTGTTAATGTTTTATTTGGCGTTATTCCAAACCCTACTGCAAAAATTCATTGTCGGGTGTCAATACACGCTAGATCGACATATAATTTTAAAATTGCAGCTGGTTTAAACTTGCAATACACAGCTATAATCAGTTTTTCTTCCTCCTACTTGCACGCGTATCGCCATGATCGGTTGAGTAACAGCGTGAAGGTCACACTTTGAACGTGCTGTGAACTAACACGTACAAATCTCTGCCCGTGCCCAACACGAGGCTGCTGCAGTATGAATTCCAGATGAGACACTGGAGGATCAGCATGCTTTACAAAAAATCATTACATTTATTACTCAACTCCTTTTTGTGTCTCAGCCCATCTTCACACAGCTGTCATGGCTAATATGTACATGACTCACAATATAAAATCCTTCCTAGTTCGTCTGTACTTCGCACAGTGCAACGACAGCCATACCGAAGAAAAAACTAGTCAGGAGCTACTTACTTATGAGACCTTGCAGATCCAACTACGACAGTAAACCGGGGTAGAAAGTTCATATTCGGACTGATAAAATCTATATCCGCCCACTTTACCCCTAAGACTGGCCCAGATTTAACCGCCCCCCTCCCCACTCCGCCTGAATTCAGCTAGAACATGGTTACTGATCTACTGGGAGTATCTCTGCCAGGATGACTTGCATTTTTCTAAACAATGAATGAAACAGTTTAGGACAGTTTGATATTTGGGGAGGACAACTTAATTTAAATAAAAATGTATATTTATGGGGGGTTGAATGAATCCAAATCATATACTGGGAGCAATATATCCTCCCTTCCCACTCAGTTTCTACACTCCTGTCTGGGTGACTTTACACCCAAGCTATTTTTGTTGCATATTGGGCCAAGGCAATTTTACAATTTAAATAAAATGGTATTATTTTTTAAAATATATATTCATGAGATACAGCAACGGTACATATTCAAGCAAAGTCATATTAATGGGATTTGTCACTGCTTCACAATCATGACATGGTTAAATTGGTCATTTTTACTAAAATATACTGTTTTAGGCCTTGTTTGAAAATATGTAGACTTGCAGACAATATAACTAGCTTTTATTTAGTGCAATCTAAAATACAGATAAACCACAGGGATCCCTTAGGGAAAGTGCTAAATTCCTCTCACTGTTTCTCATTACGGACATGCAGCTTATACCTTGCAGAACTGCAAGGTGAACCCTGGCAAACATCAGGGCCCCCACCCCATCTTGGGAAACATGTAACAGATAGTAATAATAAGTGGCACCTGACTGTAGACAATCATGTCATCCAAGGGCCCCCAGATAAGTTAATCTGGCCCTGTTGCACAATACAACAAGGTTCTCAGATCCTGGGTGGCTGTTGCTGGACCAGGAATAAGTTTTGGTGAGATGATGGTCGCACTCCTTTGCCATGAGACTGGAGCCCAGGTTGAGGAGAAGCTTGAACTAGGATTTCAAATCCAATTCAAGGAGAAAGCTATAGGCCTGTGAATAACTCCTTGGAACTGGACCAATTAGCACTGGCACAAGGCTTGGGGCAAAGTGATTTTTCTCATCTTGGGACCAAGGCACTCGTGGTGTGAAACTATGCTGTCTGATGAAATGCCTTCTCCACTCCTGCACTGGCCCTTCTAGGTTGAATAAAAAAAGCAGCAATTCAAACAAAAGACGATCGCCAGCTTTGGACTTTGGAATCACATGTAACTGGAGGGCCGGAGGGTGGCACAAAGGAGAAGGTCAGCAATGCAGCCTGAACGCACACTTACACACAGGGGATTCCTGCTTGTGTCCTGCACAAGCACCTGCTGAGCACCAGTGAAAATATCCTAAAAAGTGCAATGGAGAATCAGCTGGAACCAAATTAAACAATGAGAGTCATTTTTAAATATAGATGTACCATTATTGGTCATGCAACAAGACATTTGTGACAATTTTACGTCTTATGTAGAATCGACTTGATGTGCACAATAGCATTATAAAAGTGGGCTTTATTAGTCACCAGCTTGGGGAGCAATAAATATTCAGTTCATACCACAAACAAACCATGTGAAGCTCCAAATGCTTGTTACATGTAAGACCAATTTAAACTCCCACCATATAGCCCGCAGTGCTCCTTGATAGTGCAAACATAGCAATACCGTCACACAGTGCAATCAGTTCATCAGATGCGCCAGGCGGTAGCCAGCTATGAGGTCACCGAGGTCCGAACCTCGGTAATTAAAAGTAAAAATAAAATTGGAAGCTATATATTGACCTGAAAAAAAAATGCAGTTGAAAATGTCTCCGGCCCAAGTGCATCATTAGTTTGGTTCGAATATGTTATTAATAGTGTCTGCTGTGTGTGAGTGAGACAGCATTTAGTATCAGCATGATAGGGGAAGCGTGACTCGGGAACCGCATAAATTCACCTCACTGAAAGCAGTTTCGCTGTGTGAGGAAGGGTGCGCAGGAAGCATATTATTCGGTAAGACAAAGCAACGATCATTATCTGTAAAAAAAAAAAAAAAAAACCGTCCCAAAACATTTGAAAATTAGAAGGGCTCTTACTCTGAATAAATACAAGCTAAACATGGCAGTCATATTTTGCAGGGGGTTCATTTAGATAAATATTAATGGAAAAGTATGCTTTTTTCTCTAATTTACAATAGTAAAGGAGCGCAGTTCAGCGAGACTCGATCTTACCAGCAACGAAGAGACGCGCTTTTAAGTTCACTGAAAAAGGCGGGATGGAGTCTGAGGTAAAATTCAATGGTAAAAGTCACCACGGAAACTGTGTGATCATTGGGCTTTTATCATGTATATATTTGTTAAATTACTTGTGGGTTTAGGATAGCCGATAATCTGTTCTTCTTTTTGAATGAAACATAATATTTAGAGGTATAAAACCCTCCATTCATCTAGCTGCTGAAATTAGTAAATACATCCTTTCAGTCTTGTATAGATAGAATGAATGTTATGATTATAATGTTGGTCATTTCGGTAGGTTGGGTTATTTTTCAAAGAACATCCTGAGGTAACATGAGAAGCTCCTATTGTTGGCCTGTTTTGCCAAATGTGTTCAGTATAATATTACTGTTTTGCTTAAAATATAGTTTTTTCACATTGTTAAGTTCTGTAAAGCTTCGTGAGTGTCCCGCTTTGCCCAAAAGTTGTCTCGACATATACCTTCGTCCACCTTCTCTTCCGAAGTCCCGCCCGTTTGTTACTGTGCCGAAGCCCTATACTTTCTGGCAACCAATTGAAATACTGGTTTAGCGCAACTCCATTCCCCCGGGTCCTAAACCTATCCGTCAGTGTGACTTTGGAGAAGCGACGTTAGTTTTGGATCATGAGGCGTTTCTCAACCCAGTCCTCGGGGAACACCGGATCGTCCACGTTTTGCTTCCTCTCAGCTCCCAGCGCACCTGTACCAGGTATTCGGTGGTCCTGATTGTCTGGGAGCTGGGAGGGAGCAAAAGCGTGGACTGCCGGGGTTCCCTGAGGACTCGGTTGGGAAACACTGGTAGAGTACGTACTAACTTATGCCAATAAATGCACATTTCTTTGGGGGGCTAAAGCCCCTAAAGTAGACCTATCGACGCCCTGGTCTGAAGTAAATATAATTTTATGAAACGTGTTAAATATAAGAGTCGGCTAGGCTACTCTGGCCATGTTAAAGGTTGGGATTCTTTCGTATTACACCAAATGGGCTAGAAACTAACGTTTCACATAACGTCATTAATAAAAAGTAATAATAAACAGCGTATGAAGGGTACTGTACGAATAATAGTGTCCATAGAAACATTTCAAAGCCAAATTTGGATATCAAAACAAATCTATTTGGCGTTACCGTGTAATGGAGTGTTAATATCGAGCATTTCTCTTTCATTTTTATGTTATGCTGAATATATCTGGTTACAAATAGCCTTAAATTGCATGCTTCGTGCCCATAATATTTTACTGCTCTATAATGTTGTTTATGACATAGACCTAAATTCATTCAGTAATGCACACTGTAGGGAGGGTTAGTGGAGTATGCTTTTGCTCTATACTCTGGCAAGGTCACCCAGAGTGAACTGGTTAAATTTAAAATTGCTCTTACTCTTGGCACATACATGATGTATGGTGTATTATTCAGAATTAGTGCTTTTCAGATTTTCAGCACCAATAAAATGTGTTTCTTGCAAATAAGAATAGGTCTCCTGTATGTAATGTGTGATTGAATTTAGAATTAGGTGATCAGTGGTCATTGTTGACACACCACAACAAAATGTGTCCTCTGCATTTATCCCATATGTGACATAGCAAGAGGCAGCTAATTCAGTGCCTGGGAACAGTACCTTGCTCAGGGTACCTCAGTGGTGCCTTGCTGGTCAGGGATTTGAACTTCAATTACAAGGGCACTTCCATAATCATTAAGACAGCACTGCCCACAATTGACCCCCGGTCCTTGCTATTTTTCAATCCCTGACCATTGCCCTCAAACTCAGTAAAAATAGTGTATTTCCTTCTTTTTAATGAATATCAGATGTGATCTATTATCTTTAATATATATCTTTATCTGAACTATTTATGGTATAGTTCAAAGAAACCTGGTTCCAGCTTCGAAACATTGTGTGGGCCACAGGATTATCTAAAGGAACCGGGCATAGACTGCAGGCATGGAGTGGGACTAATTTTCTGCCCAGGAGTTTTATGCCCAAGACCAGACCGACAGATTTTGTCTTCTTTCTGGGGGAACTTTGATAAATGATGCCACATTTCAAGCCTTATTGTCCCATTAGTGTATTACTGACATTACAAGAAGACAATAAATGATAATAACAAATAGCATATTGTTCAATCAGCCACACCTGGTCTCTTTCTAACATCAATTGTTTTAGAAACGTTGAGTGATTAGCAATAGCAAGTGATTAGTTGTGGCACCTCCGCAACAACACTCATTCATTTCAGTTCTTTAAATGACAAGCGAGCATGGTGACACATATAAGATAAGATAAGAAGAACTTTATTTATCCCGAGGGAAATTCTTTTGTGTATTTCTTTTGTGTACATATGTGTGTGTGTGTGTGTGTGTGTGTGTGTGTGCTTGCGTGTGTGCAATATTGGTTAATATTCTGAAGCGTCGTTGTAGGATTTAAAACTTGTAAAATAAATTTGTTCCTGAATGGCACAACAGCTAAGTGGACCACCAGGAATTCTCCCTAGTATCCCGATTGGCCACTGCAGGTGACATGCTGCAGGTGACATGCTGCTCCTCTCTCTCAGAACATACAGAGATCAATTTTTATATGAACTTTGAGTCCACACTAAATATCAATTTGCTGAAATCGAGTAGTGGAGGCCCTTAGCATATCCCGGCATGCTTGCAAGTCATGATAATAGCACATGGGTGTATTTGTTATTGTAAGTAATTGTGTGTTTCTGATGTGCCCTTGCCGTGTGATATATGAATCCTGTCTGACCCTTGCGTGATTTTAGCTATTGTATAAACCGTGTGTGTGCCTTACTGTACAGCATCAGACCTCTCTGCGTTTGAAGGCCGTATGTTGTTGTGGTTATAGCTTGGGAGTGGTTCTCTAAAGAGCTCTAGAGGTTCTCTTCATACAGTTCTTCATACGGTTCTCTTCATACGGCATTGCTGCTCTTCATTGACTACAGCTCAGCATTTAATACCATCATCCCCAACCAGCTAGTCACCAAACTCCTCGATCTGGGCGTCAACAACAAACTGTGCATGTGGATTAAGAACTTCCTGACAAATCGTCCACAGACAGTGAGACTGGGCCCATATCAATCCTCGAGCCTGTCCCTCAGCACTGGAGCACCGCAAGGATGCGTGTTGAGCCCATTGCTCTATTCCATCTACAGATATGATTGCACTCCCACCCACCCCACAAACACAGTAATAAAATTTACAGATGACACAACTATGGTCGGACAAATCTCTGATAACAACGAGAGTGCCTACAGAGAGGAAGTCAGCTGTCTAACAGGATGGTACATAACAACTTGACCCTGAATGTTAAGAAGATGAAGGAAATCATAGTAGACTTCAGAAGGCATAAAACCCCACCACGCCCTCTCATCATCAATGGAAAAGAAGTGGAGAAGGTCTCCTGTTTTAAGTTCCTGGGGATCTTGATCACAGAGGACCTGAAATGGGAGGCCAATACAACAGCCATGGTTAAAAAGGCGCAAAATCGGCTCTACTTTTTAAGGACACTAAAAAAATGCAACCTGTCTGCCGAGCTGCTTAAACACTTTTACCAATGCTCCATTGAGAGCGTCATCACATACTGCATCACTGCATGATTTACCAACGCTCCATTGAGAGCGTCGTCACATACTTCATCACTGCATGGTTTACCAAAGCTCCATTGAGAGCGTCGTCACATACTTCATCACTGCATGGTTTACCAACGCTCCACTGAGAGCGTCAACACATACTGTATCTTTAAGACTCGCTGTCTCTGCTGGGTAAACAGCATTTTGCAGGACATAACACACCCCCCATACCCACTCTTTTCCCTACTCCCATCTGGGAGGCGTTATAGGGCCTTTAAAGCCTGCACCTCCAGATTGCAGAATAGCTTTATCCCCAGGGCCATTGCAGAACTGAACAGACATGCCTCCCCCCCACCAGCTGTATAGTTGCATTTTAAAAGGATTCTAACACAATGGGACTCAATTTTTATTTGTTGTTATTTGCAATTTGTATTTATTTATTGAGTGAGTGTGTGAGTATTGATTTAGAGGCTGCATTAGCAAATTTCATTGTACGGACCTCCTGTACAATGACAATTAAAGTCTATCTATCTATCTAGCACATTCTTTTAAAACTGGTGGTGTTCTTGTTCCTGCTGTGGTGATGCCAGGATCTGTGAATTATCACAATATATATTTTTAATTGTATATTTAACCACTGTTGGTCACTGTCTTAATAGAACTCAAGTCAGGGCTTGAAACCTTTCAGTTTGTGACTAATGGACATTCACTTTCTCATTAAGAAACTCATGGAGCAGCAGACGATTCACACAAACGCATCTGAAATTAGTCAAAGGGCCTGATTCCGGCAGCCATGTCATAGTCAAGGACTGATTTACTTCCACCTGAGGGCACATATTATTAATTAGAGAATGTTATTTACCATCAGGCACTCTTATAAACCCAGGCCTGACTACCTTTGATTGTGACACATGAATCTGACTGGAATATGTCTGGTGAAATAGCTCATACTACTTTTTGTTCCCATGACAGTGACCTGGATAACCTGGATAAGCCATGGGCGATTTCCTACTTCCAGGATTGGACGGCTCCAGAACACATTACGTATTTAATGCGCCCGTAGCAAGTTAATATAAGTGAGGCTGTCACAATTTATCTCTCACGGCGCAATCTAATCCCTCTTTTTTGTACTGATTGTCTGATAAGTGTATTCTCAGACACATGCATTGATAGAAAAATTTCGGGACGAATTAACTGTGAATCAACAGACAGTAAGTTGGTTAAACAAGTTATTACAATGTCCTGCCTGGCGCTTATTTTCGTTCGTTCGCAATTAGTAAAGAAATAAAGTCAATAAAGAGAACGTATGTAAGCCTAAACAGCGCACAGACAAAAATGCTGATAATTGTAGAATAGCCGGAAACGGAAATGTCGACGGGAAGCACGGGTTTTCAAAAGCGCTTTCCCATTTTCAGACTGTCTCCTCTCGCTGGACATTACGGTGTCTTTTCGCAGTTCCAGGACAGTGAGTAAGTGCCGAATATAATTTCTTTAATAAATGACGACGGCTCTGATGTGTATTTGCCAACTGAAACATATAGTTTCAGTGCGGTCTCTTTGGACTCGCACTTTTGTTTTTCGTACTGTTCTTATAAGGCAGGTAAGTGAAGGATGTTCCTACGATATTTAAACATGCGATTAAGCCATGTTGTATCGGCGAAAGGGCTTTTTGGCTGTCAGTAGACGATGGGCTGATCAGTCAGTTTTCCATCGTGGCCGCGACCACTCAGTTTATAGAAACCAGGGCCGAAATATGCTTTTTAAAGTTTTCATATTTACACCCCTCTGCAAGTGTTTATCATGCAACCGAGTGCTACTGTACATGCTGCCTCTTGAATACTGTAATTCCGAAGAAGCTTGTTCCTATTGAACGACTAGTTATGACAATATTTTGCATTTCTTGTTTATTATATGTATAATTTTCCGTGGGAGAATGAAAAACACGACTCTGTCTGCTCAGATCCTTCTCGATACATCTTCCGGATTGGGGAAGTCACCTGACACTCAGCAGTGTACACTTTCCATGAACCCTTTGCAACCACGTTACCTCAGATCATAACTCTAACTCTGCTGTCTAAAGGGTTCTCCTAAACTATTTTTCACTTTTTAAAAAGGAGATGATCTTATTTAAATAATGAATACAACCTGTCAAGCCAGATTTAAAATGGAGATTAATATTTGAAATGGCTACGCCAAGTTTGCGCAAAAATCATTGTGGTTAATATGCTTCTTTCTATGATTCTAATGAGAGTATTTGACACCGAAGCACTGTGAAACTGTAATTTCACTTAACATTTCAAACACCCTGCAAGTCTGACATGAGACTGTAATTTAAGAATGTAAAGTATCGGTAATAACACAGGTGCTGTATTTGTTATATTTTTTTAAATGCACCAGGCCAGAATGAATGACTTTGCCGTACTCTGCACGGGAAAGAAGATGCCCCTTCTTGGCCTGGGAACATGGAAAAGTGAACCTGGGAAGGTGGGCAGATTTAACCTTGATCACTGTGGACACGTAGCCATTTGTAGGCATGTGATTGCTGTACAGGATAATCCACAGATTGTGCTTGGTTTGTAAACATTCTAGTATGCTAAGCATATACTGGCATGCTTGTTACAGTATAGCTCTTTGATAATAGAATACAATGATATACTATACTCCGCTAACAGTGGGTTCAAATCCAGGAAACTGACATATATGGTAACCCGTCCCTACTGTAAATCATTTTGAATAAAAGCGATAGATGAGTATTAAATTTTCTGCAAAATTGAGCTAAAACAGCAGTGCCATTCATCAAAATATACACTAGTGAACCTTGCTGAATAATGTTGGTGCTCGTACAGTAAAATGCCCCCAAACTGACTGCCAGTGTCTGTTGCAGGTGAAACAGGCTGTGGTCTGGGCCTTGCAGGCTGGCTATCGCCACATAGATTGTGCTTCCATCTATGGCAATGAGGCAGAGGTTGGCCAGGCCTTGAAGGAGATGCTGGGGTCACAGGTATGCCAAAATATGCGGTTAAAGACCAGCACTTTGTTGTTCTTGTTTTAGGTATTGTCCTTCCTTTTTTTGGGTATGAGGTATTTCATGTGTTCCGTAACTTAGAAATATCGGTGGTCAGAGTGGGGATTAGGGTTTTGCCCATAGAAATGAATGGATGACAAAGATATGGATACCTAATGTGTGTGTGTGTGTGTGTGTGTGTGTGTGTGTCTGCGCAGGGACTGAAACGGGAGGAGGTCTTTGTAACCTCAAAGCTCTGGAACACTCAACACCACCCTGAGGACGTGGAACCAGCCTTGTTGAAGACCCTGAAGGAACTGCAGCTGGAATACCTTGATCTGTATCTCATCCACTGGCCATATGCTTTCCAGTACGTACCTGGAACTGATGCTGAGACTCTTAATGCAGTAGGCAGTGTGTATGTTAAATAGTGAAGCGTTGAATGTACGCACTGAGGAGCTTTGTGGACAACAGGAGCTTTGTGTTTATTCTACATTTGAGTAGCCCAGGATGGAGATGCTGTCTCTGTCTTACAGACGGGGTGGGGTTGTGTTTCCCAAGAAAGAGGATGGCACCATACTTTATGATGACATCGACTACAAACTGACGTGGGCGGCCTTGGAGTGCTTGGTGGAGAAGGGGCTTGTGAAAGCCGTCGGCCTCTCCAACTTCAACAGCCGGCAAATAGACGACATTCTTTCCGTTGCCAAAATCAAGCCGGCTGTGCTGCAGGTGGGGAGAGTATGGTGGTGTTTATGTGTCTTCACGTGTAAACACAACCTGCAACGTGACAGAGTGATGAATAAGTTATCATGGAGCTTTTTAATGTAGATACCAACCTTCAGAAAAACTTCCAGGAAAAAATGAGTAAAATTGTACTGGTTAGTCGCACATGAATCTATGGATGATAGTGGCTAGTAACCACTGTGAGGAATCAGAGGCTGAAGCCTAACTTGGACCAGATGTAGGCCATCATTCTTTTACACCGTACAAAAAGGCGGTTTGATATAGACATGGTTTGATACAGGATTGTGTTTTCGTTTTGCACTTAAACTGTAGGTATAGAAAGTCAACTCATCTGGTGTATTAGGTACAGATTGAGCCTTCAGATGCTAGTGCTAGCAAGTTAATACTGTACATCATGTCACCACATGATATTGTGTTTTATTATATGGTCTGTTTGCATAGACAATAGGATTGGAGAGGGGACTTGTGCCTGAAATTGCTTTAAAAACATTAGCTTTTTGATGTTGCTATTTATTTCAAATAATTCCATAATTGTATACCGTTCCAGCTTCTAGTTTTATGACTAAGTTGATGTTTTTTTGAGTACCTTTGTTTTGCTTTGTGCTGCCTAATCCTGCTATATGTTACATGTTGTGAACTGGGTGGTGTGAGTTAGAATTCCTATGTCCTGATGTAAGAGGGCAAATAAGGATGATCTAGGTCGGGTGGGGAACCTGATTCATGGAGAGTCGGTGTGGGTGTGGGTTTTTGGGATGGCCTCTCAATCAGCCAATAATAAAACAGTGGTTCTCCAGTTCTGGGGACCCACTCTTATTGGTTTATTGAGAGGTCATCCCAAAAATCCACCACACACTGGCCCTCTGTGGATCAGGTTCTCCACCCCTGATCTAGGTGCTGCTGCTGTAATATGAAGCTCAGTGTGATGTCTCCTCTGGCGCAGGTGGAGAGCCACCCGTACCTGGCACAGCCACAGCTGCTGGAGCACTGCCAGAAGCGCGGCCTGGTGATGACGGCATACAGCCCATTAGGGTCTCCAGACCGGGCATGGAAACACCCGGAAGAACCTGTACTTCTTGACGAGCCCGTGCTGGCAGAACTGGCTCGGAAGTATAATAAATCCCCTGCACAAATTATACTCCGGTAAGTACCAAGCTCTACAAACATGATCACGCCACATCATTCTTAGTGGACAGCAAAGTAAGAATTTCATTGCACTTTTCTGCTGTACATATGACAGTAAACACTTTGAATTTTGAAGCGGACAAAGGGAATGAAAACTAGAGAATGTTTATGTTCGGTGCCTGTATCATGATCAGTGTTTCATACAGCATTAACTCCATTACATAGATTCCACAAACAACATTTGTGTTTTGTTTGTTTCTTTTAGGTGGCAGACCCAGAGAGGAGTGGTAACAATTCCCAAAAGCGTGACAGAGTCTCGCATTAAAGAGAACATACAGGTACTGGGATTACTGTCAATGCCGTTAAGAGGCTAATAAACCCAGCAATCTTTACCTGGCATAGCCTGTTTGATGCCTGGTACTCAGCAGTGCTGGTCAATCCATCAGGTGACATAGGGAACATATGCCAAGTAAGGACTTTGATCCTTGTATCTAATGTGATTGATATGTCTGTGGCCAGGTATTTGATTTTATCTTGGAAGCAGAAGAAATGGACAAAGTATCAGGCCTGAATAGAGGCTGGCGCTACATTGTACCAACTATAACTGTGAGTACATTCAGGGCACTATACACATTACTGCCCTGATTTTTGAACCAATGGCTAATGTTTTCGGAGTTTTTGCATGTTTTTCCAAAGTAAATGTCTCCTAAATTGAATGAGGATTGTTGTCATTTCCAATGATGAAATTTAGTTTTCAGGCAAATGTGAATTGAGACTGATAAGTACATTTATAAATAAGTATGCATATTAAACTTAACACATACTAAATTTAAAAATACTAAGTAATGAACCCTTCCACCGCCAGAAAAAGATGTGAATTTTAAAAAGCTCTATGTGTAATATTTGGCAATAGATCTCAAGGTGATGTAACACCATAGTGGTTAAACAGAATGAGAGATTAAGTGCTTTCATATTCAGTTTATTTATAACTGCAGTTACAGGCAGTGTGATTAAGCTGGGGCAGAATGAACATGAAATCAGTTGTTCTGTGTGGTGACTTTTTCTCATAGGTCAATGGCAAGCCAGTTCCCAGAGATGCTGAACACCCTCACTACCCTTTCAATGAGCCCTACTGACCTCCTCTCATGTCATATCATATTTTGTACAACTTCTGCAGACTCCTCAGCCTTAAAGCCTATGCTGACTGGAGTGAACCCCGTTCTCAGAGTGTGCATTAAGTTGAATGTTGTGTGTTAATGAATAAATTGAAAGATGAGAAAGATGTTGGTCCCTGTTTGTGATATAATGGGTTTCAGTACAGCACATATGCAGCCCTGCCAGTTCCTTCTGAGTTTGCTTCCCTGGTTTAAAATGGTAAAGTTGAAATGAGAATCAATAATACTGTAGTGGCGACACAGCGCCACGCGCCCAGGGTGTGCCAGGTCTTACTTAGGCAAAAGCACGGTCACGGGGGTTTAGAAGAGCGCGTGAACGGCCGGGGGAGGGCGCAAGGTCACCGGAAGTGAGGTCGCTTCCGTATTTAATGGCGCCAAAATGCGAAATAAGTCAGTCCTGGGGGTAAATTAGGGATGTGATGCAGAACGGCTTGCTGATTGTGGCTACATGTGAAACTTACAATTTCCACGGATAACGAACAGTAAAATTAGCGTTAACATGCCTGAAGACACCCCAGCTACTTCCGGCCCTGAACGGTGAGCGACTATTTGTTTAATCGACTTTATGACTGTTTGTACACCTTCAGTTTTTAAAACTTGGTAGTAATGATATGTTAACCGAGTCACCGCTGTCAAACATGTTGTTATACCATAGACAGTTACGTGTGTAGGTTTATCTTTTGGCACCCCTTAATTTTAAATATATTTACGGAGCTGCTTTCTTTTTCTCAGTAACTAACATTAGTGCTCAGTCGGCATGCTGTTAGAATGTTAGAAGGCTCCCCGTGAAGCTTTAGCCGGCTGCTCCGCCAGCCTGTGATGCCCGCATGTTCGGCTATGAGCCGCTTTCTGAATGAATGCGCGCGCTTCATTGCTCAAGTTCACATTTCTTGCGCTGTTTTGGTAAATGTTACAGTGGTTCGAATTCTCAGTTTGGAGCTTTGTCTACTAACACTACTAACGAGCGGTTTCTCAAAATATTTGATGGTGTTTGTGGCCCCTTTTAAACGGCAAGATGTGATATTTCGGAGATGGTCCTATTTTTAACTAGTGTTTGGGTTTAGTCCGCGGTATCTAACTGCACGTTTTCCTCCAGCATGGACGAAAAGCCGTGTTCATCCAGCCATGCGGCCGACAGGTGAGCTTGACTGCAATTGCTCCTTTTCTACGATTCATTCTGGTTTGGTTATTGTGGTTTTTTTGTGAAGAAAAATCGCAATTTTGCCAGTGGGTGGTATTTGCATGCTGCGGTTTGTATTTATGCAACTTAACCTCAGTGGTTTTTTAAACTATAAACCTTTTTGAAGCTGCAGCGATGTCACGGAGGAGGCGAAGAAGCTGCTCGGCGCGGGGAACAGGCACCTAGTTATGGGGGACGTGGTGTCGGCCGTCAGTGTCTTTCAGGAGGCCTGTGCCATGCTGTGAGTATGGATGGAGGTACCCACCTTTGCAATGCCAAAAGCAGAAGCCATTGTGATACCGGTTTGGTTACGTGGCTCCAGCCGCTGTTCCCTTAAGGCTGCAGGATGAGCTGAATCCGTTCAGCTGCTGTAGTAAACATTACCTGACCTGCTGCGTTTAGCGTGTGTGTGTATGTGTATGTATATGTGTATGTATATGTGTATGTATATGTGTATGTATATGTGTGTGTGTATATGTGTGTGTGGTGTATGTGTATGTGTGTGGTGTGTGTGTGTGTATGTGTGTGTGTATGTGTGTGTGTGTGTATGTGTGTGTGTGTATGTGTGT